AATATCTGATTTAGAAACCAAAGAGTTGATAATGGGGCAAAGGGCGATAGCCCCCCCCCCCCCCCCCATCCATACCGCTCCCCAGCGATGAAGATGCCCGTATACGCCTGTATTGGTGGAGAGATATACCTTAAGTTCTACACTGATATAATATCACATGATAGCTGAAAGATTATCTCATCTAACTTTTTAAGAAGGAGCTTATCAACCATGCTTTTTAATTTAGACATATCAATGAGGACTACTTACGAACCACGTCATCTTCAACTTCTTAAACATTAACGCGATCTTTAATCTTCTTATTGCATCGATATTCGCTCGTTGCATTATGCACAGATACATGAAAGGATTTGATGTAGGGGATTAATTTTCGAATCTTTAATGCTTGCACTTGCAAATGGCGCAATCCTTTTCAGAAACCGGAGACAGAATTATGTCGACGGTAGGCATCAAAAGGATTTGTTCAATATAAGTCCAACATTCATACAATTTTTCTAGTGTAGTCCTATTGATCATGGATAGAGCAAATATTAAAAAAACGACTGCTGGTCACATTGACATTTCCATTTTCTTATTCATCGTTAAATAGTAAAACTTTGCGAGCAAAAAGCTTTCGGTGACTTGCAATTTATTGTCAGGGTTCTGCCCATTAATTAAAGCATCGGCAACCATGTAGCAATCAATGTATTATAGCAAATTCTCTCAGAAATTGCACATTTTCAAACTCTATCATAATCAGAGAAATTAAATCTCATAATTTCTTTATAAAATAACTTATTCTTATCTTTCTTTAATCAAAGAGAGCATTTTTTCTGTTAATATAGATTTTTAGTTTAATTGTTCTTTTAAAAGAAAAGAAAATATGATTTCAAAAAAATTGATCAGTCGCCTTAAACGGATACTTTGCATTAAAAAAAATTATTCACAATAATGCAAAGACTATGGAAACACGTTCTCTTTCAAAGATATTTCTTATAACAGTATCATTTAAACGTCCTGTGAGTTTCATAATAATTTAAGCATGAATAACAAGTTATGATCATTTTGGTAAACCTAGCTTTTTTCAAATGTTACAAGGAAAGTGCTTTTAAATAGCACCAGTGCACAATAAGCGTAAGCCTGGCGCCTGAACATTTCGTGGCATTAATTCTTGATACAAAAGGGGTTATAAATTAAGATTCATATGATTTACACAAACATTAAGGTAATTCAGCGCCTTAAGAATGTCTTTTATAAAGGCATAGCGAACGTATCAATACAAAATTCGAAAAAATATGTTGAGAAACCTAAAGGGTATGTTAAGCAATGTTAAAAAATGTTAAAAGAAAAATTCGTGTTTCCTACAGCATATTGCTCTTCTCTTGTTCGAAACCTTCTTAGAATCATTTAGTTTGCTTCTTGTTCTCGAAAAAAAAATGTTCATGAGTGACATTTAACAAATGTCAGCGATGATTTTACAAAGATATTATGGGTTAGAATGGAAATTGAATGTTGCGAAATGTCAACAGGTATACGCTCATTGTGCATTGATGCTTTTCAACGCGCATTCTTTGCACAATTTTAAAAGTGGTTCATTTGCCAAACCGATCATTACTCAAGATACTTCCATCAAAATCTCGTTGCATTTTTTTTCCTCGAGACACCCCGTATATATATATATATATATATATATATATATATATATTGAATAAGGCAGACTAATGGAACATGGTTGCAACCTTGTTTCATTAGTCTGCCTTATTCAATATATATTTTGCTCTGCCTATATAGGCATTGAGCACTGTACGGAGGAATAGACAAAATCTAAATATATATATATATATATATATATATATATATATAAACAAAGAGAGAGAGGGAGAGAGAGTGTGTGTGTGTGTGTGTGTGTGTGTGCGTGTGCGTGTGCGTGTGTGTGTGCGTGCGTGTGCGTGTGTGTGTGAGTGTGCGTGTGTGTGTTAACAAACAATGCAAATTTCCATTATATATCCAGAGTATAATTCGTGATAAGTATAAATTCTGCACAAGAGTTTTGATGTAAGAGAGAAGATATGTGATTCCTCAAACAGAATAATAATGATTATTGTTTTAATCATGATAATAATCATAATAATAACAAGAATAATATCAATAGTAACGTTTTCAATAATAATATCAATAATATATCTTTAGTCACGTTTTCAAAAATGATAAACATAATTGTACTGTTAAGTGTTGTAATATTAAAGATAAAACAGAAATGCCGATATTTAAAATATTCTGTCTCATAGCCTGGATCCTCTCAACCACAAATAAACTCAAATTAACCATCAATTAAGCATGCTCCTTTGTCAAGTCTTTTACACTAACATAACTTTGATCGAGGCATTTATATTTGCTATGTACCTAGATATTAACAATAGGTAGTTTAATATACCGTTGGAGTATACAAAGCACGTCTAATGGATTTGTGACAAAGGAGAAAATCGATGCCATCCTTTAAACAAAATTTATTCCTAAAGAGCAATCGAAATGTTAACCAAGACAGTAGTCTACCACGACATATTGTTACCGATAAAACTATGACAACATAATTGTCCTTTTTTTTCTTTACAACAATAGCAGTGACAGTGGTACTATTGGCAGTACTAGTAGTCGTAGCAGCAGTAATTGTAGTATTGGTAGTCGTAGTAGTGGTAAGTGTAGTAGAAGTATTGGTGGTAGTAGTAGCAGTAGTAGCAGTGGCGGTAGTAGTAGCAGCAGTAGTAGTAGTAGTATAATAGTTGTAGTAGTATCAACGTATTTATTATTAATTTACATCAGATTCCATCTCACCAATTGCCTTTGAATTTGTTTCTTCTTTATTTATATATTTATTAATATTTCACCAGGGTGGCACATTCAACAAGTGGTCTTCCATTGGGCCCTGGGTATGCAACACATCCATGTAGTTAAAAATATAAACATGAAAGTAGTCCGGCTCTTCGTCACAGTGACATTACCGATTGACCCAATTTAAAGTGCCCATACTTTCTCATGTTTGCCCGGCATTGGTCACACGACGGCCAGTCTACTTTTTGTTTTGTTCTTATTTCTTGTAGTCTAGTAAATTGCTAACGAGGTTACATTTCTCTTTAAAGGCCCGGTCACACAGAGGGGACGCATGGGGGACGCACGGCCGGCGCATGGAAAATTTGCAATTTTGGCCAGTGCGTTGTCGTGCGCCCAACTTTTGTCGAAGCTATACAGCTAGCTGACACCAAATGCATAGCGCGCTGGACGCATACAGGGCGTATACAGGGCGCACACAGGGCGCACACAGAGCGCACATGAAAACAACTTCCACGAATGCACAGCGTGTTGCTAGCGCGCTGGACGAATGGTCCACGCATGCACCGCGTTCTACGACGCATGGCCAGCGCATTGGAAATCGGAAAAGAACGTGTGCCTTACTTTTGTCATAATTTTGGAAAAGCTAGCGAGCTGACACAAAATGCACGGCGTGTAGCTAGCGCGCTGTGCGTATACAGGGCGTGTGCTCCGCGTTTGTCTGGCGCTGGTCTAGCGCGCTCCACGCATGTCTGGCGCTGGTCTAGCGCGCTCCGGCGCATGTCTGGCGTGCCTTTGGCGTGTATATTCATGCGTCGAGCTCGGCGCACGTTTTTGAGCATGCTCAAAAAATCCCGACGCACACAGCAAATGACGACGCATGCATAGCGCTGGTCCAGCGTTGGTCCAGCGCGCTCGACGAACGAGTAACGAATGATGACGCACGCCTAGCGAACGACAACGCACTGGCCCAAATTGCAAATTTCCAATGCGCTGGCCGTGCGTTCCCCATGCGTCCTCCCTGTGTGACCGGGCCTTAAGATGCCCACAGGTAATTCTTTCTTTGAAAAAAGAACATCCATTCCTTTCTTAATACTATTATGCGTCTTTAAAAAATACAAATCATGTTTAATTCTCCACGTCATTGAAACAAATATGAGGTTGCATTTATACATTGGATATTTACCACTCTAGTCAAATGTATGTATACCTCCCAACATGACCCAAGGCTGCTTATTAACAGACGATACAATACAATACAATACAGTACTATGATAATTATCTTATTTAATAGCTTAAATTGTTTAATTGTCATACGTAGTCATACTTATAACATTTTGGGGTTTCTGTTTGGGGAGATTTAAATGCAATTTTGGTGCACAAAATGGTCAATCATACGTTTATCAATAAAGAATCAAACCTTCTTTCGCTTAATATTACTATGGAGTTACTCCATGATATTACTAAGCAGTTTTGGTAAAAGTCGAAGGGGCCAAAATGTATTGTACGTGTAGGGGTGAGCTTACTCGCCCATAATCAAATATATAATGGATTCCAGATTTAGGAAAGGTTCTAATAACTTTCATACATTTTTTAATGGTACTTCCAAAGAAGAACAGTGTGTTTGATAAAGAAAACAGATGTGTCCATCCAGACAAATAACCCCGACTTATTAAACTAGTCCGACTTACAGGATGAAACTACAAAGATTTGGTCATAATCTACCGTGATGATACACATTATTAGCTTTGAAACGAAGTAATACATGTACTCAAACGGAGGTTAACAAATTCAAGAAATGTACATATATTGAACAAAACAAAAAGATCCGAGACACATTTTTCATATTTTCATGAAAAAGATAAAGTCCATAAAGAATCAGTAAGAATTGTTGACAATTGCATTATAATTATCACTGACCAATCATAAAACTCATAATTGCTAGGTGCCAATCGTTCAAAACAAAAACAGGTTTGCCAGTCACCATCACTAATAGCAAAGAATCATAAAACATTGAGTAAATGATGGTTTTGCGCAAAAATTTAAGAAATACAAGTGAAATTTTTAAAAGCTCTTTCTTAAACAGGTAATACGGTTACGTCTAAAGCAAATTCTGAGTAACAGTTCCATTTAATATATTTTGCTGCTAAGTAATTAGTAGTTATATACTGAAAATTATAAGACATCATGTCCAGTTAGATATTGGACATGTTGGTTTTAGCTTCGCGCTTTTCAGAGCTCGCATCTTGATCAAATATCGGCGAGGAGGTGCTCGTCATCTTGCAGGAGAAGGTCTGTTTTAGTGCAACACGGAATTCTGGAAACCAGGCAACGTATATGATAGGATTGAGACACGAGTTATACGCCGTTAGAACAATGACGAAGGTATGAAAGGTGCTGCCAATCCAGGTTGGTGAAATCGCTCCGACTGAGTAGAGGACAAAGAAGATTTGCCCTGGTCCCCAGCAGATGATGTAAACCAGGATGACGATCAACATCAATTGCAGGACGCGCTTACGAGCTTTGACGTGGAAAGAGACGCCCTTCTTTGAACCGTAGCGAGCCGACCGTCGCTGAAGGCTTCTTGCGATGCAGATCTGGGTGGAAAGCATGACGGTGGTGGGGAGGATGAGACGGTAGATGAGGTAGAAGACCCCTGTTACGACCTGACTACTTGTGGATCTATAGTGGAGGTAGCATCTGTGAGATCCAGGATCAACACCGACTACCGTCATGACAAATATGAAATAGACACTGAACGTGGTGATCCAGATGACAGCCAGAACTGTGGCTAGGATTCCTCTGCGGATAACAAGACGCCCGTAGACCAACGGGTACACAACTGCCATATACCGTTCGATAGATATAGCCATGAGGATGTAGATTGATGACGTGAAGCACACAAAGAGGAACAGTCCTGGCAGCATCATCTTGCAGTAGAACTCACCCAACATGGAGGATGGAACCGTTCTCGCTCCGGGCAAAGGGATGACGAATATGGATGTCAGGAAATCAGCCAAGGCCAGGGCACCAATCAGTCTATCGGTAGAACGAGTGGACGCTCGCCGTTTCCAGAGGGCCAGTATGACGAGAAAGTTTCCGATTAGCCCTAGGACACTTGACACGAGATGCATCACATCTGACCATGTCGCCAGGAATGGCTTCCAGGACCAGCCCACTTCAGTAGCAATACCAACAGTCGACGTCATATCTACATTTGTGGCGTTTGAAGCCATTCCGAATGAAAAATGCTATGTAGCTGATGGCTTGCAACTATAAATCTCTGATTTAAAAATAATAATAAACACCTTAAACGAGCAAAATTATAGTTATGTTCTCCATTCGCCGTTAGAAAGAGAAAATGTGAGTGTGAGCAGACACTACCAACAAAAGTGTGCGTGAGCCAAACTCCCCAGACAACTATAAATGAAACGCCGAATGGACAGCATTGATATAAAAATCATATAATAGGTTCATACGAGAATGAATGGCAAAAGAAAAATCGTTAAATGAACGATTTGGTATTCGCAATTAACCTGTGGAAGCACATCTCGGCGTACGTGCGTCAGTGGTGGCTTCGAAGCGACTCAAGGTAAACCGAGGCAATTTTTTTCTTCTTGATTTCATGACAGTATAAACAGCGTTCCACTAGTGCTGGGATGTTTGTTTCATCTTTTTTTATTTTGTTGTTTGTTTCATCATAGTTGATGCAAATATCTATAGAAATGAGTAACAATTGACCACATTCTCTTGAATGGAACAAATAGCCTTGATTTCTAAAGCCCTCTGAAAACTCAGATTCATGAAAGAGAAAAGAAAAACAACAGAAAATATCGGGAAGAAGGGAATGGAGAATGTACAACTGGGGGAAAATATTGAAGGAGATATATGTTTTAGTCAATTGTAAAAATAATGTGTCCATGAAACAAAATATGATTTTTAACAGTGATAAGATGGTTACCCTGAATAAGATCTGACACAAAGTCATGACGAACATAATGGAATAACCTCGGCTGGTGGACAATACCATGTTATTATCAGAGCTTTTGACATGTATGGTTTTGCAGCCATGACTTGAAGGTCCTGTATTTAAGGGAAATGTAAAGATCAGCGAATGCATGTACGTGGGTGCGTGTGGAACATAGCTGTTGATACGTGTGTGCGTGTGTGTGTGTTTTTGTGTTTGTGTATGTTAAAGAGAGAGAGAGAGAGGGAGAGAAAGAGAGAAATGCAGACGTACAGAGAGAGAGAGAGACGTAGGCAGAAGTTTATATTTTGCCAGAGGTTGCTTTGCATCTTTGGATTTAAAAAAGGGGGTGGTAAATGTTGGTTCTAATGTACTAGTGTATTTTGGCAAGATAATATATATTTGCCCCACACCACTCAGGTGAGGTAAATAGGTAACCAGAAGGGAGAAAAGCCTTGAATGTTTGAGCGCCCTTCATGGTAGCTCGACTAAAACCGCGGTAATAATGCTAGGGGGCCTTCAAGAGGAACACTATTTATACTGATGAGCCTACCCCGGATAACCAAGAAATTATATTATTATTATCATTGTTATCATTATAATCATTATTATGATCATTATTAACATCACAATTGCAGTTTGCCACGCTTAAAAATGGGTAAACGAGTATTAAACAAAATATTCCCAGCTGAGTAGTCAAGTTATGGCAGATTCGGAATACATGTGTTCCCCTGCTACCTCCTCCTCTCTTCTCTTTCTCTCTCTATCTATATATGTATCTCTCTCTCTCTCTCTCTCTCTCTCTCTGTTTGTCTGTGTGTGTGTGTGTGTGTGTCTCTCTCTCTCTCTCTCTCTTTCTCTCCCTCTCTATCATTCTTTCATTCTTTCATTATCACTGTCTTTCTTTAATCAGGATATTATATTTCCCTCCATCTGCATGTCCCGCATATTTCCTCTGTTTTAACAGAAGTAGTCAAATTATCATATGGTTATCCTGGTTAACAACGTATTTCAAGATTTTTGCCAGATGAAAATTATAGTTTCCCCGGTATAAAAATGGATTTCGGTCGACCCATTTTCTTTCATCACAGCAAATTTAATTAAGTTACACTCAAGGAAATATGAATTACGTGACTTAAGGGTATTATCCTTGAACGAGCTTTAAAAACAGTATAATGCTCATCGATAAATCGATACTCATCATCTCTGGATGAGGGAGCCCATTGGTGTAGAACAGTTTGTTAATCGTTGAACCGCTTCTCTTGCAAAGGATCTATTGCCTTGTTGTTTTCATAAACATATCCAATTCGTATGCAACTCAGCAAGCAATAATTGTCTTAAAATCTATTGTGTTTGACACGGCACTAACATTACCTGCTCCTCGGTTTTTCTTCCTAAGCGTGCCGGATTACCATCTGACGAATTATCCTTAGATTTGTCGTCTTCGTATGCCTTTGCAAACATCTTTTTCTCTTATTTCCAAACTACGACTATCGACCTCCAATCCGTAAGTTTACTTTATCCATCATTTTCGACAACCTTATCACATTTTTGTTAGACGTGACACGTTCAGCTCATTTAAGTATATAGTGGAGAGCTTAGTATGTAAATATTGTGCCTAAATGGTGACGATGATACTGGCATGATAGTCATATTGCGATCTAAAATGTGGCAATCCATTTTTTTAAATAAATTGGACTTATTAGAAACGATGAGCAATAATATTGGTGTGTGTATGTTTTCTCTTTATTTGGCTCATATGTTAAATTTTATAAATCATTTTGACACGCATAATACGAGCGTCCAACCTACGAAAATCCGTGATTTTGTGTGTTTCATTGTATATCTACACCTTGCATTTGCATTATTTTCATTTTCTAAAAAAGCAACATTTGCCTCAATCATTCGAATGGTTTGAATAGATATGTATCTGAGAAAAATATCACAAGAACCCAGAACTGTAAATCCCATTAGTTTATACTTCTTTTTTATTATTATTGTGTATTTCAGTTTCTGAAGATGCATCTTCTTTTACTAATGATTGGATTTTGGAGCCATTCCCTCCAGCAAGCCGAGGCGTCTGGTATGTTTCATAAACAAATTATTCTGCATCGATCCATTTTTGTAAATGGAATAAAGAGTGTAGTTCCATTATTTAAAGTTAAATTAGAGGTTCCTTTCTTCGAAAATTTACGCATATCGTGCACCATTTCCACTCCCTGCGAAGTAATTCTAATTATTCTACTCTATCGTCTCCGCGAGGGCACGTGTTGCAATTTCTATCACAAAGGCTTTCGTCATCTTACCAGGTCCCTATTTCTCTCCTAGTTATGGAGTGGCAAATATAGATTAATGTTTTGCCAAAGGACATAGTACATTATTGGGGTTTGAACCTACGACCTTTGCATTTCATGTCAAGTGCTTGAACCACTTGACCTAAACGACACATCTGATTCGTGACATGTCTCCACACACAAATATTCCCCCCCCCCCTCCCGTATCAGTAATATCTTTGCTTGAAACTTAATTTGCATGTTGATCCATTTTGTATACATTTTCCTGCGCTCATTACGACATGTAAGGAATGAAAGTGACTTCCAATAAATATTATCTTATCATGAAATCATAATTTCGAAGCACTTTATTTTTTCCGCCAAAGTCAATGCCACATGTATTTAATGTGGTGTTTGAAATGTAAATTAACATGATCCCTTTTGTATGCGTGTTTCTGATCATAGTTGATGTATTCCTGAGGTACTAAAGTGATTTCTAATATGAAAGTATCTCATTATCAATTATTTTCCGATCCTACACCAGTGTGTCCTTCAGGTTTCATTCTGCTCAATACCACTTGCTACTACTTCAGCGAAAGATCTGAAACGCGAGGCGATGCCCAAGATAGCTGCGCTTCCGTTGGTGCAACCCTTGCTTCGCCGTCAACGGCAGAGGAAGACGCCATAGTGGCGGCGTACCTAAATTCCCTGGGCGGTGGTATCAACTACTGGATAGGCATCACGCAACACAACGCTCTCCACTTCGAGTGGATGGACGGGTCTCCACTGGAAGATACCTTCTGGGGAGATGAATTCGACCCGAACAACGAGAGGACCAACTGCATCAGGATGGATGCCTCATATGGGTTCCATTGGCACGACAAGAGCTGCGGGGGCTCCTCATTCAATTTCATATGTGAAATTCCGTCCGGGGGAGAGGGTATGCACCTCTTGATTGTTTTTTATTTATCATTATTTTTTTTTAATTTTTACTTTGTATTGGTTTATTTTTGTTTGTTTTCTTAACTCTTTTTTTATGAACTGTTTACATGTAGCAATCAATATCACAGCAGTAGTTTAAGTGAAGCTCAATTTGATGGAGGAATTACTTTTCTCGTTGCTGTTTTTGTGTACCTTAAGAAATAATACAAATTTCAAAAAAAAACAATCGGCGTTTGCATTTAGAAACATTACCACAGCAGTAGTTGATGTAAAAGTTTCAATGTAAAAATGGAGCTCCATTTACGCACCTCTAATTCCTTTATTTATTTTTATGCAAACAATAATGAAATTGTAACCATCTCTTTTACCTTTGCACGTAGAAATATTACAGCAGTGTGAACGTGTCAATGTTATTTTTGAAGCTCTATTTGAGGAAGGAAATTTGCATCTCTATGATCTTCTTTTCCATTTATAAATCAATAATAAAAAATATAACTCTTCATTTCATCCTTTACATGTAGCATTTTCAAAGCACTAATCCGTGGGAATTGATAAAGTATGAATGTCATGTGTGAAACTTTATTCGAGGGAAGAAGTGCGCACCTCTATGATTTTTTTAATAATGAATAATTATCTCTTTTCCGGTCTTTATACAAAGTAGACAAAAAGCAATTAGTGGTTGGTGTACAAAATCGGAACAAAAAAAAATCATTTCACATTTAGAAGTTATATTGCATTACCTTTGGGGACTATGAGGGACATATCTGAGTGG